GCATGCATGTGTATATGTATATATATATATATATATATATATATATATATATATATATATATATATGCATGCTTAGACGCTGCATTTCATTAATATTGGTGGTTTTGGTTTTGAAATAATAAAGAATTAGGAGTTCTCAGTGTATATATATATATATATATATATATATATATATATATATATATATATATATATATATATATATATGTTAGGTTCAAATATGGATGAACATCTATTGTACGGACGTGTGGACAATGTTATTATGTGATAATGACTAAGAAAATATATTGTTTGATAATGTGAATACGTTTAACCTCGCATAACTATTGTCATTATCATTAGTAATTAAATCATCTTTTTTTATGATTCTCATTCTGTTAAAATGTTGTCAAAATGTGTTATTGATAACCATATTCTGTAAAAATAAAAATGAGTAAAAAACGATTTATGAAAACAAAAATGAATAAAAATTAGTGAGAATGCATAACAATAACTATAGTTGTATGAGGTTGAACATATTTACATTATCAAACAACTTATTCTCTTAGTAATTGTCATAGAATAGTACCGTCCACACACGCTCGCACAATAGATGTCAATCCACATTATATATATATATATATATATATATATATATATATATATATATATATATATATTACCAAATACCAAACGGGTTCAAATGCAGGTATCTAATCTTATGCTATAGTAGAAAACATGCTCATGTTACTAATTACAAGTATCATTCTCAAACTAGTTCAACAATAATATAACTTAAAAACAGGAATAAACTTTTTGTCGTCTTATCATTTACATTGTGGACGTTCTTTTATGATGTGCACCAATGCACGTACCATTGTCCATTGCCTTCTTGGAGGGTTTCAAAGGGAATCCGATGATTCAATGATTTCTTGCAACAAAAATATTCTCTTTTAGGGCCCATTAACATGCACAATTTTCCTAATAAGACATGTTTATTTCATATCCTATAGTATACTTGAAATATTACAAACTGTTAGTATTTTAAAAAAGAAAGCAATATATTCTTCAATGAATTAGGTATGAATTATCTGTTCTTTTAATATTTTCATAAACTGATTCTAAAATTTTTATTTTATGTCTTTGGTAGAAAAAAACAAATCTAGTTACCACACAATCATCTAAAATTTTCCTTGTTCCTCCGAATAGTATCTATTTTGCAATCAGGCACGTCCAGAGGGTGGCGATATAGGCGACCGTTCAGAGCCCATCTTTTTAAGGGGCCCAAATTTTTTACAGAATTTATTAATATAATGTTAGACATGATTGATTTTGAAGATATTGTTAGTGATTTTGCATCTCAAAAAGCTAGAAGAAGTATTTTTCTGTAAATGTATGAGTTTTTATAGTAAAAAATGTTATATTTAAAAGCTAGCATAAGTATTTTTTTTTTTCAATTATTAAGTTAATATAATAACAGTTGATGAAATTTATGTATTTTAAGGACATTTTTTTTCTCTTTCGTTCTAGACCTAAAATATGTTTGAAACGACCCTTGCAATGACTCACTATTAAATGCATTGAAGTTTTTCTCATGTCTAAAAGATGGGAAATTAAATATCCTTTTAGTTTTCTTCCTACCATGTAAAATAATAACAAATGTTTTAAAATATAATTAATTTTATCAAAAAATAATATTTTTCACCATTTCAATAGGTAGGAAGATAAGTAAGAAGAAAGGGTAAAAAAATATCTAATTTCTTGCAAAAGATTGTTTTTTAGACATTTTCTTATTTTTTACATTATTCTTTTGTTATCTCTTTCAACTTAACAATTCAAAGTATGAAGTATCCTTTTAACAATTCAAGTATAAAGTATCCTTTGCGAAATTGTTTTTTTTCATAATGAGGAATTGATATTTCGCATCGGAGAATTGCTATTTGGCTTTTAGGAACTGATCTTCATCGATTAATTGGTATTTGGCATTGCGAGGTTGTTTTGTGTTGATGAATTGCTATTTCGCATTGAGGAATTGTAATTCCACATTGAGGAATTACAATTTTGAATAGAAGGAATGAAGGATTGAAAAAAAAAATTGCTTTTAGTTTTTTAATTAGAAGTCATAGTAGTGGCTATATCTGTCCTTTTTTTTTGCTAACTATGGTTCATTTATTTATTTATTTATTTATATATATATATATATATATATATATATATATATATATATATATATATATATATAACCATCAAAATTGACTTCATTTTGATTATAAGACACAATTTCTTTTATTATTAGCTTGTTCCTATTGTTTTTGAACTCATATTATTTTTGATTTCGTGATTCATCCCCAACATTTATATATTTGGAATGTGTTTTCTTTATTAGACCTCTAGTATACTTCATAAATTCCTCCAACACCTACCTTATGTATACTTCTATATACTTACATGGTTTTTTTACACGTTATAAAAACAGGTTTATTGAGTTTTTTAATAAACACTTTTAAACTTTCACTGTTGATTTTTGTATTAAATTTCAATATGAAGTTCTACAGGTAGTTGGTGAAATATTCTTTTACACGGTTTGTGGTGCAAATTTAAACTTATACAACTTCATAAACAATATATACAAAGCCTAACATAAGATCTAACAGATGATGCAGGAAAAGTGGTAGAGAGATTAGATTATATTTTGTTAAAACTATATAATTTTTTATAGTTCTATATCTAATATTAAGTATATAAGAACCACATATTCTCCAGGCCTTATATATATATATATATATATATATATATATATAATATATATATATATATATATATATATATATAATTTAAGATTAAATATGATACATATGGTGTTGGTGCACCATTCATTATATGCTCAAGCAAAGTATGTTACTTTACTTGGGCGAGTGAAACTGGAATATTTTTAATGTCTTGTAGTAAGATTTATATAGGGTTGAATTTATAAATATATTGTAACTATAATGAACAATGACGATATGAAATTTGTACATGTATATCACATTCAAACCACAAAACATACTACATGATTGCTACATGTCGAGAAAGACTATTTAAACAAACACTAATAAAATTATATAAACGACTATTAAAAGTAATAAGTAGTTGTAAAGTTTAATAGCTAAATTCAAATATAAATAGGAAAATATTAGGATGTTATATATAGTAAAAATATAAATTGAAATGGGGTATAATAATAATAATAATAATAATAATAATAATAATAATAATAATATTCCAAGAAGGCAAGGAATTGAGAAAAGCAAAACAGTGGGGGGTAAGCAAAGGCAAGATGCTCAGAACGACGTGGCCACAAAAGAATTAGTCGGTGCCAAATGCATCCCACGTGACACTTCATACAAACCACCATTATGAATTTATTTATTATTATATTTCATTAAACTAGTTTGATATTTAAATATCGTATTTGTTACTTAAAAACTCAAATAAAATAAATAAAATATTTAATCATTCATAGTTTCATACACGATAGTGAAAGTTAAATGTGAAAAAAAAGTCGCTATGATTGATTGAGACATGCAGCTGAACGTACATATGTCTACCATATGTTAAATATATAATTGATATGGCCGTACAATATGGTTTGCATCAACCACCACCCATAAATCTTATAAGATAAATAATTGTATTTTAATAAAGAAATGAAAATAATACAAGTGATAAATTTTCATTTAAAATGAAAAAAACTAAGAAAATAGTAAAAATTTAATAAACGATTTACTCATTTTACTTGGCATTAAGCACGATAAAAAAGTGTGCTCTCAATTACACCCCCACCAAAACAATTTATTGAATTCATTTAATAACAGACCTTTTCTCCTAACATTACTTTCTAATATCAATGCTAGAAAATGAAATAAACTATTTATAATCTTCAAAGCAATCATTAAATTGTTACTCTTCAACATCTTTATTATTATTATTTTTTAATCTGTAGATATATGGAAAATAAGCATCTTTTAATGAACATTCGCCCTGTAAATATTTTCATCAACCAATAATCCGAAAAATAATTTACTAAATTAATCCATCTTTACACTTTACATTAATTAAAATAATAAAATTAGCAATTTATTTGATGTATTCATAATAAAATATAAAATATTTATTATTCTTTTATGTATGTATTTATTAACAACTAACACATATAAAACTATCATTGGTAAATTGTACAGGAGATTTTACTACATAAACAAACGATAATGAGATAAAATGTGCTCAATATGGAAAACCTTCAAGAGGACCTGACATGCGGATCGGATGACATTGCTATTTTTTTTTATTTGGAAGGTAACAAAATGGCATTCCGAAAAACTAATTGTCATTTTAAAACTTTTATTGTTATATTAAGATATTTTTTATTTGGTTATAATTTGTTTATTTGCTATTAATATTGACCACCTTTTACATTCTTTTCTTTAGAGCAACAATTAATATTGATTTTCCTTTATATTTTGTTTGTCAACTCCATATTTAAAGTATACATGGCTACAGAACAACCATTGATGTAGCTATTGATATTTAATAATAACACATGGCTAAAACGAGCGTTTGCAATTATAAAGCCCGTACTTAGATTTTTGGTTGTATCGACATGTCTATTTTCATATGTGCTGCTTACCTTAATTAGTTGGTTTGTACTTCCAACGTTGTTATTTTCAAAAGATTAGAATTCTCAAAGTAAACTCATTACCTATACTGGTATACATTACCAAAGATAAAATCATAGAATTTTGGTCATTTTTTGATTTATAAAAAGCGAACAACTTGGACAATATATAGGTATATGACACTTTTGTTTATACGAAATTTGAGGCATATAAAAATAAAAAGTGCAATTCTTGCTGACGTCACTCAAACACTAAAACCCCATCTTCCCCCAATAGAGTGAGAGAAAGAGAGCATCCAGATCTTGCAGACTACAGAAGCTTCACAAATCCCATTGCTTATTATTCTCTCTCTCTCTCTCTCTCTCTCTCTCTCTCTCTCTCACATCGAATTGGTAATCTTGATGACACAAGAGAAGAAAACAGACCCAGATAACATGAACCGAGTGAAACAAACAACCAATAAGGAATCAGCATTAGCAACATGATGAGACTTCTTTTTATCTTATCTTTCTTAACTTTACTCTCCGCCCATCCCACCAGGAGAATTCTCCACCAGCCACTTTTTCCGGCGAGTTCAGTTCCGCCACCGGACACAGAATTACCACCGCCTACAACCACCACCACCACCAATCCCACTCCCGACCAGCCTTTCTTCAATGAAAACCCAAATGGGCAGACACCTGAACCAGATCAGACCCAAGTGCAGCCACAGCCACAGCCACCACCAACGCCGCCGTTGGTGGTGGGCGCCGACACCAGTAACACCAACTCGGTACCACACCCCATTGCCCCACAGCCAGCAATAAAACCGGCGAAGAAAATAGCAGTTGCGATTTCAGTTGGGATTGTGACTCTCGGAATGCTGTCAGCATTAGCATTCTTCATCTACAAACACAAGTCGAAACACTCGACTGAATCGCAAAAGCTCGTCGGACGACGTAATTCCGACGATAACGTACCCATGCCGCCGTCGAGTTTCCTCTACATTGGAACCGTTGAGCCGACGAGATCCGTTACTGAAACAACCAACGGACGGCCAAATGTTTCACCGTATCATAAACTCAGCTCCGTTAAAACATCTGACCGGTATAGGCCGAGTCCTGACCTTCAGCCACTTCCGCCGTTGAGTAAACCCCAGCCACCGCCAACCACCATTTCTCCACCGGCGATGTCTTCTTCTTCTGACGATGAAGAAGAAACCCACGATTTTTACACCCCTCATGGATCAATTGCGAGCACGGAGGAACGGAATTCGATTCCCAAATCAAAATACCGTCATTCCATAAATAATAATTCTCGATCGGTGATCCAACAAAGAAGCACTAGTCCAATCCCTCATTCCAAACGAACTTCACCAAAATCGAGGATTTCAGTTTCTTCTTCCCCAGATACAAAACAAATAACCTCGTCATCGTCGTCGTCTTCATCACGAAAGCTTCCTTCTGCTACTCCTCCACCGCCGCCACCACCGCCGCCGCCTCCTCCTCCTCCTCCTCCTCCTTCAGCAATACCACCACCAAAAAAGATGAGAATTTCCCCAGTGAAGTCAAACTCAATGTTTCTGGAATCACGGGTTCCGAGTCCGAAAGTAATTCCTGGAATTGTAAAATTGAAGCCATTGGAGGAAGTAAACAACAATGACGTTGAAGCTGATGACGCCGATGGGTTAAAACCAAAGCTGAAGCCGTTACACTGGGACAAAGTCCGGGCAACTTCCGACAGAGCAACCGTATGGGACCAGATTAAATCAAGCTCATTCCAGTAAGTATACACTCAAATTTCAAAAACCATATCATTATTCATACTCCTTTTTATCAAACGTAAGATTTTCCGTTTATCGTCTAGACTAAACGAGGACATGATGGAATCCCTTTTCGGATGCAATTCCGGTGGTTCAACAAAGAAAGAAGACACCCGGAATCGGAAATCAGTTCTACCTCCGGTGGAAAAGGAAAACCGGGTGTTGGATCCAAAAAAGTCGCAAAACATAGCCATATTATTACGAGCATTGAATGTGACAAGAGACGAAGTATCCGAAGCACTTCTAGATGGTACGTAATTACAATTCTACCCCTATATCACTAATGTAGTTTTACTTTCGGCTTCTCACATCTTCATCAAGTGTATTATCATATATATGTTTGGGTGAAAACAGGAAATCCAGAAGGTTTAGGTGCTGAGCTTCTAGAAACACTCGTAAAAATGGCGCCAACGAAAGAAGAAGAGATAAAACTTCGAGATTATAAAGGTGACATGGCAAAATTAGGATCTGCAGAGAGATTTTTGAAGTCAATTCTTGATATACCATTCGCATTTAAAAGAGTGGAAGCCATGCTTTACAGAGCAAACTTTGAAACCGAAGTGAAATACCTCAGAACTTCCTTTTCAACCCTAGAGGTATTAATTTCTTAAATTTGTATATAATATATATATAATAATTTATAATTTATATATAAAATTCTACCAGGAAGCAAGTGAGGAACTGAAGAACAGTCGTCTTTTCCTTAAACTTCTTGAAGCTGTTTTACGAACTGGTAATCGCATGAATGTTGGAACAAATCGTGGAGAAGCTACAGCTTTTAAACTTGACACACTTTTAAAACTAGTAGACGTAAAGGGTACAGATGGAAAAACGACATTACTTCACTTTGTAGTTCAAGAAATCATAAGATCTGAAGGCAATGAAACCGAAGGGCATTTCAGGAAACAGGGGTTGCAAATTGTTGGTGGGTTGAGTAGAGAATTAAGCAATGTGAAGAAAGCAGCAGGAATGGATTCAGATGTTTTAAGTGGGTATCTTGTAAAGCTTGAAATCGGGCTTCATAAAATTCGATTAACAGGTCATGAGAAGAAAAACATGGAAGAAAAAGAAAAAGGAAACTTTTTTGAGTCGATGAAAATGTTTATAAAAGAAGCGGAAATTGAAATTGCGAAGATTAAGATTGATGAAAGAAAGGCGTTGGTGTCTGTGAAAGATGTGACTGAGTATTTCCATGGTGATACTTCAAGAGAAGGGGCACAACCTTTTAGAATATTTATGATTGTGAGGGACTTTTTGGGAATATTGGATCATGTTTGTAAGGAGGTTGAACAAATGCAAGAGAGAACTACAGTGGGGTCAACAAGATCATTCAGGATTCCTGCAACTGCATCGTTACCAGTTTTAAACAGATATCATGTTCCTCATTGTGTCAGTTCTGATGAAGAAAGTTCATACTCGAGTTAGAAATGGGAAATGCATCTTACATGTACAAAAATATGTGTATCTTATTTTGAGCTTGGAAAAATGGAAGATGAGAAGATTAATATCTGGATCAGAAATCAAGTGCTTAAATCTATAATCCAGATATAGTCAACAAAAGGTTAAGAAAATGATGATGGATCTTCTGGAAACTTGGAATTTCATGGATCTTCTAACGTGGTACAGAATACAAACTGATAATTGAAGTAGTCTTGTTTGTTTACTTACATTCTTGAAAGGAAATAAATGTTTAGTTTGAATTTTAGTAGAGCATTAGTTTTCTTCACATGGAGTTATTTAACTTCTTACTAATTTTTATTCTCTTTGGGGATTACTGTACTAAATGTCTAAAACTCTATTTCCGGATTTTGTCCCCTTTTATATAGTTAAATACCATGGTAGAAGATCCAATAATCCAGATAAACCTGAATCCAGTTTCAAAATCATGAGTGTCAACACTTGGATGACAATCAATTAAAAATAAAACTTAGAGATACATTTAACATTACTTGTGATCTGAAGATCAATTTAAAGATAGTGTTGCTTTTATCTGATTGAATAATTTCAATCTAGATTGGTATCTAGTCTAGATCCTAGAAGTTGTTTATTTCAGCATAAAAGTGAAAGAAAATCTCTAACTTTGGGATGAATGTTTGTCACTTACAATGTTAACACGCACCAAGTGACTGATAAAATGCCGCTCTGATATGAAGCAATCAGGTTCGATCTCTCCTTATATATGAACATCTATCTAATCAACCCTTGCTACAATTATCGGAGAATAGAATGAAGAAATGAAACTTCTCAAATTGCATTCGAAAGAAACAGAGTACATATATATGAGAAAAGAGATCGTCTAACTACCATAACTAACTTGATAAATAATTACACTTTAACCTTTCTAATAAAACTATTTACATTTCTAACCCTCTAATATTCCCCCCTCAAGTTGGAGCTAGAGAATAGATGTTCGTCAACCCGACTTGCTAATAAAAGGTAAAAGCTTTGAACTTGGTAATGGTTTAGTGAACATATCAGCCGATTGCGTAGCTGAACGGATTGGAAGTAACTTGATTGAATTAGTTTCAACTTTCTCACACACAAAATAACAGTCAACTTCTATATGCTTTGTGCGTTTGTGAAATGTAGGGTAAGTTGCTATTTGAATTGCAGCTTCATTATCACAAAACCACAATGTAGAATCAAGGGCATTCATTCCAAAATCTTTCAATAATTGTTGAAGCCAAACAAGTTCAAAAGTGGTAGTCGCCATAGCCTTGTATTCAGCTGAAGCTGAGGATCTAGAATTTGTTCGTTGCTTCTTGGTTTTCCATGAAATGAGAGAATCTCAAAGGAAAATGCAAAAACCAGTAATAGACTTTCTTGTTTCTTTACACGTGGCCTAATCAGAATCACAAAAACCTTTATTTGTAGAGAAGAATCTTTTGAGAAAAATAAACTTTGTCTAGGTGATCCTTTTAAGTACTTAATAAGATGACAATCTGCTTCAAAATGAGAAACACACAGATTGGACATAAAATAAGACAAACATTGAACTGCAAAAGATATGCGTGGACGTGTGATGTTCAAATATAATAATCTGCCAATGAGTCTTCGATATTGAGAAGGATTAGAATATGTTGCACCGACATTCTTTTGAAGATGCATTTTAGGGTCCATAGGAGTGTTTTCGGGTTTAGCAGCTAAAAAACATGCATCTTCAATGAGTTGTAAGGCATAATTTCGTTGAGAGACAAAAATACCCTTGTGTCCCACAAAATATCCCAAATGATCCAAATCTTTCAATTTAAATTGATTACTCAATTGTTGCTTCAAGAACTGATTCCTTGTTTGTTTGGACCAGTGATGATTATATCATCAACATAAACAAATAAAGCCACATAATTTTCTTTGGTACCTTTATGAAACAAGGAATAATCAGATTTTGATTGAGTGAATCCCAAAAGTAACATGAATTGAGAAAATTTGTTAAACGATTGTCTTGAAGCTTGTTTGAGTCCATAAATAGATTTATTCAACTTGCACACCATTTTCGAACCATTGTGTTTCCCCTGAATTTGAATACCAAGAGGAATGTCCATAAAAACTTCTTCCTGCAATTCTCCATTGAGAAATGCATTATCTACATCGAGGTGAACCATATCCCATTATTGAGTAGCTAAAATGCTAAAAGCATTTTGACAGTAACAAGCTTAGCTACATGAGAATATGTCTCATTGACTCATTCCTTTTGCTTAAAACCTTTAGCAAACAATTGAGCTTTGTATCTTTCTATAATGCCTTCACTTCCATATTTGATCTTGTATACCCACCTGCATCCAACTGTATTCTTATTTTGGAGGTAAGGGCATTATTGTCCAAGTATTATCTACTTTCATAGCTTCTAATTCAGAATTCATAGCATCACACCATTCCTTGTATTGAGAGGCTTCTTTATAGTTTTTGGGTTCAAAATTAGTTGAAATGTTCATGGAAAAAACTCTATGGGAAGAAGAAAGAGAATGGTAGGACAAATAATTGTCTAATGAATAAGGTGGATTTGAATGTGTGCCTTTAGCAAAATTACAATGGTTATGAAGAATGATCATAAGCATTTGTAATAGTGGCATTTTGATTATGGGACAAAAAAGATGCAGGGGTATTTGTGGAAATTTCATTATCAGGCATGGAAATTGGTAAAACAGTGTGATTAAAAGGATCATGATCAATCAAGGTATCATTGTTTTGAAATGGAAAGATGTTTTCATGAAATACATCTTTAGAAGTGAAAATTTGTTTTGTCTCAAGATCAAACAACTTGTATGCTTTCATGTTTGGAGGATAGTCTAGAAACAAACAAGCTCTTGCTCTAGGATGAATGCATAAGCTAGACAACCAAATGACCTTAAGTGTTTATATATGGGAACATTGCTATATAATTGTTGATAAGGTGTTTGATAAGAAAGAAATTTAAAAGCAATTTTGTTTATCAAATAAACAGTTGTCAAAACACAATATCCCCATAAATGAATTTGAATATTTGATTGAAACAATAAGGATCTTACCACATTAAGAAGATGTTGATGTTTCCTCTCAACTACAGAATTTTGTTGTGGCTTTGCAACACAATACTTTTGATGAATTATTCCTTTATTGGCAAAAACAATCTTTGAATTCCAACTCATTTGCATTATCAGTTCTAAAAGCCTTAATAGACTTGTTAAACTGGGTTTATATATATATAGAACTTGGGCATAATGTCTTGGATATCTGACTTGTGTTTCATCAAATAAATCCTTTTTGTCATCCATAATTATAGCAAAAAATTTAAGACATGTATGAATTGGTTGTTGATACGGACCCAAAATATCATAATGAACCAAAGAGAATATATCATCACATATATTGTTCAAACTTTCAAATGGAAATTGTTTCTGTTTTGCCAAAGGACATACAAACTAATTATTATTACAACTGCTTTAAGAAATAGAAACATATAAATGTTCTTGGTTGGAACAAGAACATTGTTAAAGGGATGTCCTAATCTATTATTCCATAATTCTATAGAAACATAATGCACTCTATTGTCAACATAAACAATCTCTTCCTTTTTGTTGTTCAACACATAAAGATCTTAAATGTTGTCACCTTTTCCAATCATCCTCTTGTGGATGACATCCTGGATATAAGCATGATGCCATGTGAATTGAACTACAAATTGTTGAGTTTTAGTGAGAGCACTAGCATTAATGAGATTGAGATCAAAATCGGGAACATAAAGGACATTTCTCAGAGTGAAGAGATAACAAATTTCATTGTCCTCAACTAAATGAACAAGTTGTTGGGTTTTATAGAAAACAAAATTATACAATGCAGAAAACAATTAACAATTAATACGGTACATGCATCCTATAAAAGATTTATGTCATACACCTTAATAACAACATACAATGAACAACTAAACCTAGCATAACCCTAGTGTAATTCAAAATTACCAAGTATAGAGTTACATACCTTTTGATTTGTTGTAATAAACAAATCACTTCAATCTCCTTGTAGTGTTGGTCTTGGAAAGCTTAACACCAAAAGGATGGTGTCTCTAATGGCTCACACGCAAACCCTAAAACTAGAAGACAAGAGGAAAGAGGAGAGAGGAAATTTTCAGCCACGATATCCTTGTGGGAAGAGTATGAACGAATTTGAGGTCTCAAGGGGTCCTATTTATAGTTTATGTAACTTAGAGACAAAGCAAGATTTGAATGATTAAATAATAGATTTAATCCCAGTTCAAATCATTTCCTTAATTATTTACCACCAGGAGGCTTCTGGATTCCCTAGAATCCCTCCTAATTTCATTCACCACCTACATGGGTTCTAGAATCTTCATTCCTTGCTTAATTATGAACAATTACAATTCAACCCTTGGACATTTAATTAATTCCAGATTAATTATGATTAATAATTAATTAATTCTAATTGATTTCTTGTTAATTTATTATTAATATAAATTAACAAATCAATTATTTAACAATTGATTTCATATTAATTTATTGATCACATAATAATTTAACAAACCAATTATCTATTTTTAATTATTATATTAATCATATTATATTAACAAATTATTTCGTCATAATTTCCAATTAGTTTATCAATCATGTAATAATCTAATAAATTATCCTCTCTCTACAAATATCATTCTAACCATGTTCTAGTTATGAGGGCAACCTAAAAAGGACTTTGCTTCTAATTACAAGAATATACCAATTTAGTTACTGGCTTAGATACCCTAATCCAACAGTCTACCACTTGGATAAGTCTGTAACTACAATTGCAAGTATAGACCTTGAACTAAACAAAAAAGAGTGCTTTCCAAAGCCACTGTTGAACTTTGATTCAAATCAAGTGTTGGCTCTAAGATAAGTGATCAATTATTCATTCATTCTACAAGATATCATATGGACATGAGACATGGATTAGAATCAGTCTCATAGTCCAAGATTTTGTTTCTCGATTTCCTGATTTATGACGAATGAATTCAGACTACTAATTGAAAACATCAATTTAGTTTGGGCTCGACCAAGCACTTCAGATGTCGACAACAACTCATCGAGGGGCCCAAAGATATCGCTTTTCTTGTTAAGGCAAAAGGAACAAATTACTTTGACTATATTGTCATACATTTTACTAACCAAATCATGCATTGAATTACTCTTTATGACACCCAATTACGAGATGCGTTTGGGTAAACTAATTCTGATACAATTCCATAATTGCACTAAGATGTTCTTGGAGGATTAGTTGTGATATAATTCCACAATAACTAAGATGAACATAAAACATGATACTAAATTACTCTCGTTTCTTTTTAGATTGGAGAATATTTTATCTTTTTGCCTAATAGATTCTTTTATACGT